AACATCATTATATCATCTATGATATCTGATATGCATAAATATGTACAAACCTACCTATGGACTGATACAAGGCCAAAACATGCATATAAATTCAAACATACACACCCCTGTGCTTAGGAAAGAAGAGAGAATAAACCAGCTGGATTTGATAGGTTGCTGCCCTGGCCTGAGGCCCTACTACCTTCTGAACAATTTCAGGCCAAGGCAGATAAAATCCCTCTTTTCCATCTCCTTCCTTCACATGGCTGAAGAGACTTGGAGGGCAGAATGTTTATGCCACTTGTCTATACCTGCTTCTGTGCTGTGGAATCCCCAGCACCCCACTCGTCTGGGTTGGTCTTGGCAGTCCTATAGGTATGGAAGAACCCTTCCTTTGCCTTGCAGCTACCAGCCCCAGAGTCCTACCTCCACCCTTCACATCTCTCATTGAGGGAAAGTTGACTTCAGCCTTTCTCCCCTTCTTCATCTCAGATCAACAGCAGAAGATGTCAGCATGACTTCTCTATGGATCCCTCCCTGTGACTCCTGCTCTGTCCTGTTTTCTATTGCTTGTTTTATCTCTTGTCCCGGCCTTGCGCAGCCTTTTTAAGGTTTTGTTTTCGTCCTATATGATCCGAGATAATGCCCAGGCTTCTAAATGCCTCCTTTCTCTGAATTCTCCTTCCCATTTGTCCCACAATAAGGAACCTGCCAGGCTAATTATTTTAAAGCACAGTGCCAAGGTCACAAGTGTACTGGTAACTTCCTAACACAAGACAAATTAGGGCTAGATCCTTTTGAGGCCCCCCCTAACCTCCTTTCCAACTCCTGCTTCCTCAATTCAAAATTTCACTGGGCAGCGCCTATGGCTCAAAGGAGTAGGGCGCCACCCCCATATGCCAGAGGTGGTGGGTTCAAACCCAGCCCTGGCCAAAAACTGCAAGAAAATTTTTTTCACTTATTTTTTCTATGTCTTTCTCTCCCTAATCTGTTCTGCAAATTGTTTGCACCATGGTCTTCACTTACTCCCTTCTTTAGTTCACAGTGGGGCATAACTACTCACGTTTGTGGTGCAGTACATTTATAAGCACTCTTAAAGCTAACAGTATTTATGGAGTTCCTATCAAGTGCCTGGTGCTGAGGTTAGCCCTAGAAATACTGTGGTGGGTGATGTGACTGTACTTTATGAACTAAGTCAACATGATCTGTTGTGGACCAAAAGTCTTCTGCCTTAAAATTGTAAGTAGATTTGGGAGAGAAGGCTTTTTCCATTGTCCCTCTTAAGAAGCCCCCCTTCCCCACTGTGTCCTCTCTTGTGCTATGTGGACAGAGTAGAGAAGACCAAGAAGAAGACTGTGGTTTGTAGGTTTTGAACTTTATCAGCCTCTTGAGCATTGTGGGAGTAGCTGCTGTGATGTTGCAAGCCCAGGGCAAGCACTTATACTTTCCTATATTGCAACATCTTTATTTCCTTCCCATTACGGCATCTACCCACACATATAATAAGCAACATCTAGTATTTGTGTGAGCCTAGGCTAACCATTTTGGTTTCAGAACCTCAGTTCTGGACTTACACTATGTGGTTAGAAATCTCTGTCATTCTCATAAAGATTTTAGGATAATCAAACAAGGTAAGAGTACATAAAATAGCTTTATAGAATTATAATGTACAACACACGTATACTATTATTTTTTATTCAATGCCATGTTCTTCTTTAAATCAATCATATGGCCATTATTTATTTTTTGAATAGGCACTCAGTGACATAGAGATATTCTGGCCCAGAGGGGAGGAGACAAGACATAGAACAGCATTATGGAACAGAAATATAATGGAAGCCACAAATATAATCTTCATGTATAATTTTAAATTACCTAGCAGCTACATTTAACACATTGACTACAACACTAGAAAAAAAATTTTTCCTTGGGGCCAAGGTCAAGTGTTTTATTAGGTCAAGACAGGTTGAGACTTGTTATATATGCTTCATGAGGCACTTCACTCAAAACTAACATAAGTTAAGGGTGGCGCCCGTAGTTCAGTGGGTAGGTCGCTGTCCACATACACTGAGCCTGGCAGGTTTGAACCCAGCCAGGGCGAGCTAAAATAACGACAACTGTGACAACAACAACAAAAATAGCTGGGCATTGTGGTGGGCACCTGTTGTCCTAGCTACTTGGGAGGCTGAGGCAAGAGAATCGCTTAAGCTCAAGAGTTTGACATCATAGCCCTCTACCTAGGGCAACAGCTTGAGACTCTTGTCTCCAAAAAAAAAAACTAGCACATGCAGGCAGTGCCTGTGGCTCAGTGAGTAGGGCGCTGGCCCCATATACCAAGGGTGGCAGGTTCAAACTCGGCCCTGGCCAAACTGCAACAAAAAATTAGCTGGGCATTGTGGCGGGTGCCTGTAGTCCCAGCTACTCGGTAGGCTGTTGCTAGAGAATCGCCTAAGCCCAGGAGTTGGGGGTTACTGTGAGCTGTGATTCTACAGCACTCTACCAAGGGCAATAAGGTAAGACTCTGTCTCTAAAAAAAAAAAAAAAAAGTTAAAAACAACTTGCATGGCAATTAATGTGTTTAAAAGATTGTTTTTAAAGACCAGGAAAATTAATCTTAATAATCTATAATTTTAATCTACTATACCCCAAATGTTATATTTCCAAATGTAATT